ACGGCAGCTACTTTTTAATTCTTATTTCAGTCATAACTATTAGTCCTTCAAATGAACTGGCTCAAAATATCATACTCTGGGCACATTATGTGAAGACCTAGCTCTCTGGAGAAGTCTATAATGCTGGGAAAGGTGGAAGGAAAGAGAAGAGGACAACCAGCAGCAAAGTGGATGGACTCAATTGCAGTGATGATAGGTGCACCTTTGGAAGATTTCAGAAAGGAATTGAACTTGAATTAAAGGACGCTTTCCATTTTTAATTCAAGGCAAGTGCAAAAAACCCCAGAACATGGAGGTGATCATTCTGTTTATTCCACAAAAGAACCATTTGTTCTAGAGAAATGCACAGTTCTAATGGAATGAATATATATACACTTTCTCTCAGAACATGATTATTTTAACTACTCTGGTTTCTCTTTGGTTTAATTTAATTTATTGGAGTTGTAAGGCTGCCCAATTCAAAATAACACTGCAGCATACAATATGAAAACCATTAAAAAACAGCAATTAAGATGATGATGACCCAGAAAAATCAATGTACCTCCACATCGGCAAAAGCAGGAGGGTAGGAGCGGTGGCAGAGATGGCATGCTCCCTGTGCCCCATCAGATGGTGTTTTAATGATGGGACCTTGAGCATGCCAACTCTGACAGATTGAACAGGACAGGCAGACACTAAAGGAGATAGATGGATCCTCAAGTAGCCAGGCCCCATGCCATGGAGGATTTTAAAGGGGATTGAGTGATTACTTTACTGATCACTAGAACTATGCAGCAAGTAGAAACACTACAAAATATGTTAGCTCCAGGGGCAGTGATACGGTTACATTTTAAGGCATTGTCTGGCAGCTTATCAGAATGAGTTCCTAAATTGTTTCACACAAACATACACTCCTGATATTATTCCCAGTGTTGTTGAATGTTGTGAGTGAGTACCTTCTCAGTTGCTGTTCCCCTCCTTTTGTACCACTCCCAATCCTTTGATCATTGCCATCTGCCAAAATAAGCTGATTTTACTCTAATGCAGGTGAAGAAAAGCACCAGATGCAGTGTATTCTGCTGGTCTGGACCTGTTCAAAAGATAGGTGTTAATCTGTGTTAATCTGGAGATCACGCCGGTGTCTTTGACAGGTCTGAACCAACAGAAGATGAGCCAGCTCTTTAAGTTTTGATATCTGAGTCAATACCTATTAATCTTACCTGCAATTCTTGATTGGAAATATAGATTCATGAGGGAGCAGAGGGACCCTGCTTCTTTGGGGAGTTGTGGCCCAGTTTTCCAGCAGTTTCCTCCTGTTTCCTTTTGTGGAGGCTAATATAAATTGTATTAAACGTTTTAAAGGCAACATAAAAACTAACACAAACTAATACAGGATAAAGAAAATGAAGAAAAAGAGGAGGAAGAAAAGAACAAAAATAAAAGTGAAGAAAGAAAAGATAAAAAGAAATAGAAGCTTCCAATTTCCTTTGCAGCAAATATAAGTAAATTACAAAGTTGTCTCTTACTCTATGATTACAAAACAGCTCACTTTTTTCTATTTCTAATCATCAAAACCACAAGTCATAAGTGCATTTTTTTTCTGTTTCATGCAAAAAGTCTATAAGGGATTTCTAGTGAGCCACAAACAGAGGCATTGTTTTTTCTTTAATCAAGGAAGTCAATTTAGTCATCTCTGCAACTCCCATCATCTTCACCAACCATTCCTCTATTGTGGGTAATATTTAACTTTTCCACTTTTGAGCATATAATGATCTCACTGTAGTTGTCATGTATAAAAACAAAGTTCCGTGGCTTTTTTCTAGCTGTCTGTCCATTAATCCCAAAAGAAAAGCCTCTGGTTTCAACTGTACGTTCGTTTTTAAAATCTTCTGAATTAATGTATTTATTTGTGTCCAGAATTTTTTGGCTTTTTTTACATGTCCGCCATATATGATAAAATGTCCCTTCATGTTGTTCACATTTCCAGCAAAGATTCAAAGTACCTTTATACATTCTGGACAATTTCTCTGGTAACAAATACCGATGACTTTATACATTCTGGA